TGGACGATTTTTTAGAAACATCGATTGTATCGAATAAACATCGATGTTTGTTCCAGCACTCTTTCAAACTCTATGTGACTAGTGATACAATAATAGGTGTAAACTTGCTGCGCTAGGATAATAAATAAATAATTAAAAAAAAAAAAAATAATAAAAATCAAATCAACAAAAATAAAACGAAAAACTCTTATTTTTAAACACCCGGCTTCATAGGGAAAAATTTGTGAGTGTGACACAATGTGGAGTACAAATATAAATTCAGCAACAACTATGCCTTTTATTTGATTACCCTATTTGGTTCAAAAGTTATGATTTTTGCAACGCCAAATGAGAAAAGGCCCTACTGTGCGCCGCAACCGTCGCTAACAAAGCGCGTGTTGGCAATGAACGTAGCAGAAACTCGGATATTAGGAGGCGGTATTAAGCGCTCCACAAACTGACATTGTTGCAGGAGGGCCGGAATGTTGGAGCAGTAGTTTTAATTTTTTTAGTGAAAAATGAGAAATTAGATAAAAATAGATAGATAAAGATAAAAAAAACATTTTTAATGTAACCATAAATGAAAAGTAAACAGTCAGGGTATTCCCATGACGACTGCATATCATATATTCTATATTCTACATTCATATAACTGCTAACCCATTATTTTAGGTCATTCAGGGACACCGAGGTTGCTGGAAAATATGGAATGAACGACTGAAATGCCATCGTGGTTGAAGAGTTAAGTCAAAGTTTTAGACTCCCAAATGAAAGATCTAGTAGTGTAAAATAATTTTATATGATAATCAATAGGTATATCTATAACTTGCGACTAAGTTTTGGTTAAAAATTTAGCGGCTAACTTCATTGGGTCGTTCCCTTTACGGTCGATATTTTCAATAATTTAGTCGTTCAGTCGTTAAGGGAATCCTCAAAATGTTTAAGCTTATCAGTTACGATCAAACCGCTTGGTTGCGTGAAAACTGATAAACCTTCAACAACTCAGCGATGCAAAGCTGCCTGTGTAAGTCAGTCGCCGAATAACAGTTGGACAGTGCAAGAAAATTGTTTAAACTGCAGCGCTGCGTCTTCTTCTTCTCCTTTGTGCAGGAAAACTCACGGATTTTCAGCATTTATTTTCATCATGAGAGCTGCGCACCTTCCCCATGGCTTTGACCTTAATTTGGGACATAAATCGAATACCATCTACATTTTCTGTAAAACAACATTTTATTGTTTTGATTTGTATTTAAATAGGTCTTGTTGACGAGCTCCTTGCGCTAACGCTGCCGATAAATAAACTACAGTCGGGTAACGTTCATGAATCGGAAATGAAACAGCCATCAAATAGCCACAGCACAACTCGCATAATGTCCAAGTTGACATTTTGTCACCTCATCGTTTGCAAACGTATTTGATGGAGTTACAATACATTGCAATTACATTGCAGTAAGCTGAACATTTTGTCAACAAAAGTTGACAATATGAAGCTATCCAGCTCTTATTATTGACTTTATCCATTCCTACATACAATGGCATTATATTGTGCATACGTCAGAAAATGGTTTGTTTGGGTTGTATTTTCGGAGAGAAGCGAATTCAATGGCTCTGGCGGATTCATCAAAACGGGCAAACTTAGCTTGCCAGCGGCGCAATCCAACCCTTCTTAATGGTGCCGATACTTTACGTAGAACGGGTACTTTTGTCGTGTACACTAAAAATAAGATTTCTGTAAAGGCACTATACGAACAGTGTATTGTAATTGTTAACGTATACCAGTTAACAGTGAGTTGTCATCATCTGTAGAGGCCAAAGCGATACTCTTCGAAAATGTTTAGCAAAAAAACTATTCCCATAGCAATTTCAAACAATTGAAAAAATTTCGGTTCAGCAGTTCTTAGCTGATATAAATTACAGAAATGTTTACACCATTTTTATATATTTAGATATAAACTAGAGTTCTGCGCACTAGTTCGTAGGCTGTGATATTACTAGGTCCAAAGAACCTACGACTTCCTCTTTACCAAAGACATTATAATTATCAAGTTGCGTAACGTCCATACATTCGATTTCCTATATGAGGCTTCATTTTTGATGGCAACGACAATCGCGTTCTCCCGCTCTCACAAAGTTGAGAGCGTAAAAATCTAAAAATAGAATGCGCTTGCTTGTATGAGTAAACACAAGAAACGCAAGCGCGTATGTAATTTTTATATTTTGTGCTGATGACAGCGGCAGCAAAAACAGCTGTTCTCAAATATGGATTTTATTTGTATACAACTGCATATCAATGCGTTTGTTTGTTTTGATTTTAATTTGTTTATATTTTCTATTGCTTAAATGATCGGAGCAGGATTGAAAGTGACAGCAGCAAAGCAGGAACGGAGACGAGAAAGTTAATTCAGTTGTTTGGAGTTCAGCAGTAAAGTCGTTCACCACCCTCAAGACCTCCCTGACCGGGTCTTGACATAACATATCAGACGAAACATGAAAAGCATTTTAAATTATGTAAACATAACTTAATACTCCTCCATAACTGAGCATTGTGAACATAGAATTAACTTCGAATTAGGTTTAGTTGCCAAATATTTAGGTAACGGTGCACTAGTCTAATAAAACTTCATTATTATTTATTTTTTTGACCCAAAAAAGATTAACCTAAGAGGGTTATCAACCCATCACATTTGGGGGCTCGTCCAAACCTGAAAATTGCAAGTCCCGAGAGTCTGAAAGACGGATAGCGGAAGGGAATGAGTGTGAAGCCGTATTACACTAGATCTGTAGCAGCGGATAAAAGTATCGAAATGGATAACTTTGGAAAAGCTGGTGAACAGGAGAATGAAACAGTTATAGCAGTTGAGAGCAGCTCGATCGACGAAAACACAAGAACGCTGAAAGACCTTATGCAGCTGCTTGCCATAAAGTTTGAAGCAAAACAGTGGATGCTCGATTACAGCGGAAAGCTTCGCGAAAATTATTCCGGAGTTTGACGGAGAATCCATTCCAGTAAAGAATTGGTTCGACAATTTCGAGCAGAATGCTGCAGCCTACGCAGTGGTCGATGCCATAGGCCAAAAATAAAAAATTGATTTTGAGCTATTCAAGCGAAACCTGGTTTTTCTATCAGCTGATTGTCCAAAGTTTACCATGCAATACGGTCTGCTTGGAATTTCAAACGGGACTTTCTCAAATTAGATTGACAAAAGCGTACTCGTATTCATGCACTTTCATTTTGTCAGCAGTGGAGTGCACAGACAAAATTTAAAAATCTAAAATATATTATAAAACGCTGTTAAACCAAAAACGATTGGAGTGGATATGGTATATAAGGGTATATATAGTTCACGCAAGACCCGAAACCGTTTTATAACTGTTAACACTAAGCGAAAACCCAATCTACATCCATCATCGCTTTCGTTCAAAACCGCTACAGCAAACTCTGATCAGGCGATCGCCGATCTCTTTGCCGACTTTTTCAAAACTACTTATTCTTCCTCAATTAGCTTAGATCAGACTTACTCTTTTGATTTGCCCAGGCCGAACATAATTTTCAGTTCTATTTTAAACGAAAGCTCCCTTAGTTCGGATCTTCATCGTGTAAAACCAGTTTATTCACAGGGTCCCGATGGAATACCAGGCTGCGTGCTCAGGTATTGTGCTGGGGCTCTGTGCAATCCCTTATCCTTAGAAACCTCCCACTTTCCCCTTATTTGGAAGGAATCATTTATCATTCATCTCCACAAAAAAGGTAGCTAATCGGACGCCAGCAACTATAGAGAAATCTCTAAATTGTCAATTCCAAAACTTTTCGAGAATGTTATTACTCCTCACTTGCAGCATTTATGCAGATCCGTAATTTCTCCATGTCATCATGGATTTATGAGGTGAAGATTGACCACTACAAATCTCCTGGAACTCACCTCTTTCGTTATTAAGGGTTTCAACCGACGTGATTACACAGACTTCAGTAAAGCTTTTGACCCGGGTAATCACTCTCTTTTTGTAAGGAAGCTTTACTTAATCGGGTTGCCTGTCGATTATCTTAAATTGATTTTGAGTTATTTGAGTGACAGAACTCAAACGGTTCTGTTTAAAAATGCGCTATCCAAATTCCTCAGAGTCACTTCTGGCGTCTCACAAGGTAGCCACCTCGGCCCGCTGCTATTTACATTGTTTATCAATGACCTCCCGCTGGTTCTAACGAATTCTACAGTACTTATGTACGCTGATGAGGTTAAGTTATGCTTGCAGTATAAGGACAGCTCTTGCCAGTCAGACCTGCAATCTGATCTTAATAACGTTCAAGCATGGTGTCGTGCTAATTTATTACATCTCAATAACTCTAAATGCAAGCTGATGACATTTGGAAGAGGGATCCCGCGCGAAATTAACCTCTCAGCTGCGAGAGGTCGCTTTACACTCCGTTGAAGTCATGGCATTTCGGGTGTGAGAGTCGCGGGAAATGCCGCTCCCATTAGCCGTACCGTAGTACGTATGTACGTATGGAGCATCCTTTCCGCGGAGACGCGTTAGAATGAATAAATATAAAAGAACGTTAGAAAGAAAGTTTAGGATTTAGACGAACACCAAAATCTACAACAAGAGTTATTCTTTCCACAGAGCAGTCTTTAGGCGTATAAGTGGCAAACTGTGGAGTGCAACGTGAAATTGTTATCAGTTAACATTCAAAGCTATTAAAATTTACCAAGTTAGCACGATGACATGCTTGAAAGTTATTAAGATCCGATTGTAGGTCTTACTGGCATGAGCTGTCTTTATAGTACAGGCATAGAATAACGTCAACATAAGTACTCTAGAGTTCGTTAGAACCAGCGGGAGGTCATTGATAAACAATGTAAATAGCAGTGGGCCAAGGTGGCTACCTTGCGGAACGTCAGAAGTGACACTGAGAAATTTGGGTAGAGCATTCTTAAACATAACCTTTTAAATCGTCACTCATAAAACTTAAAAATTCCAATAGATTCGCAGTTATCATTATTCATAATTATTATTTTATTATATTTAGTTTGGATAATAAGTTTCGAACTTTTATTGGTTTGGATATTTGCATACATTTATAATATTCTCAGTATCACCGGCTGCTTTGCACACTTCAGAAAGCAGGTTTTTTAGAATAGAGGCTTGTCGTCCTTGTGATCCGTCAATTGTCACAGTTGGAATAAAAGTTACTGGTGGCCTTATTGCAAAAGTAGCTTCTCCGTTAAATTTAAGTAGCTCCAGACCGTGTGTACTGCCAGCACATTTTTCAATAAGGTCAGTGTTTGTTATGTTATGTAGCTTGGCGCACTGAAACGAAGAAGAAAACAAATCATGTAAGAAATCAACATTCTTATATATGATCAGCACCAACAGCTGAGTTGATTTGGCCATCTCCGCCTGTCTCTTTCAAAGCTATCTATCTAAATATGCCCATTTTTAATTTTTTTTTTTTTTAATTTTATGCGATCATTTAATTATTTCATGTATCTGCCATACAACCGATCAGTAAACTTATACGAAAGTGAAAAATTGTAAATCCTAACCTGAAACTGTAAATCTTTATACCCATTAAAATGTTAATTAGAAGTTGGCATCGCTCAGTTTTTTTTTATATAGCAGGTCAAATGACCGATCGAGAAATGTAGAGAAAAATGTAAAGCGGTGAATGAAAAACTATAACTCTTAAACTGTATATTATATGTACACTTCTTCTCATATCTCTGCGTACAGGACAATAAAAAATCAAATCGTTAAAAAGACTTCCAATGTGGTGTCGCTGCCAAGACAGTGGATGACGTTTCCAAAAATATCCATTTATGTTATTGTTGTGAAGCTTGCCGCGAGGTGGAAAGAGAGATAATGTCGTTTATGCGGCAAACCACAGGACCTCTGGACGAATTCCACGAATCCTGAGATCGAGTGCTAGAAAGGATTCGTTATCCAAATGTGTGCCTTCCCAAAGCCCCTAATAGCAGTACCACCAATGAAACAGATATTTGTTTCGCGGCTCTCCCCTGACCAAACATCCGACGATGTAATCGCCTTTGTAGAAGGCGAAACAGGAGCTGAAAAGGCCCATATTAAGGTAGAAAAATTTATATTTTCTTATGCTATGTTACGAACATTTTATTTTTCAAATTAATGTTCCTGACGCATTCAGACCAAATCTGGACAGAGTATGTGGTTGTCTAAAATTTCGAAGCTAAGAAAAAGAAAAGGCGGGCAGAAGGGATTTGTCTTCCTAGGCCCGATCTGACCACTGCGCCTTTAACGTCTCCCAAATCCGCCTCAAAAACTAACCAACTTTTATGTTATCTCTTAGAATACAAGAAGCTTACGTAGTAAATCTTCCTATAGTCACATATATTCTCCAAACAATTATTTCTCTGCAACAAACTGTGTCCGGCGTACAGCAACTGATTTCCAACTTTATAATTGACTTCTGTTTTCCGCTTTAGATTAAAGTGTTTTTTTACAAATCCTATAAGCCTTGAATATCAATATTTTCATCTTTTATCAGTTGGTGCCGTTGCTCGTCAAAGTTTGAAGATTGACTTCTTAGTCGACACATTTACGTGGGAAATCAGCTCTCTGCACCTCTGGTACTGCCTTACTTAAACCACTTGGCTGGTTTATCTGCCGAAGTTTGAATTGATAGATATAATTGTGCTATTCTTCCTGCCGCTCTTATGGGAAAAACTAATTGTGCTCCAAGCGTGCCCAATAACGTTTCTATCACGTTCTTTGCAAACATGTTGGGTGTGAAAGCGAAGCCCCTGTCCGAAACCATCCTCACTGGTTTGCCCAAAAATTTCCGACCATGTCTTAAACTTTTCCAGCGTTTCCTTGCAGCTTGTAGTTCAATACTGTTAAAAATCCTTCAGCATCTCAGCTTTTCTTGTCTGGATAGCGACTGAGGCAATCAACATTCTTTAATCGTTCTTCAGTACGATGTTCCCCAGCGAAATCGAATGAGTCTGCACATGTATCCGTTTTATGGTTAGACCAAAGACATTAAAGTTAACAAGATGCCTTACGGCCATACATTCGTTTTGCAATATGAGGCTTCATTTTTGATGGCAACGACAATCGCGATCTCCAGCTCTCACAAAGTTGAGAGCGTAAAAATCTAAAAATAGAACGCGTTTGCTTGAATGAGTAAACACAAGAACACGCAAGCGCTTATGTGTGCGAGAATATGTGTGCGCAAGCGCAAGAATCAAAAAATTGAATTTTTATATTTTGTGCTGGCGACCGCTTGTTAGGAGGCGACGCACAGTAGCGCCTCTCTCGCAAAAACGATTTTAACCATACTTATTCGACAGAACATTTCTCAAGGATTCAGAATCTGTAATAAAATCAATTAACAATTTTTTTTTAATTCTAAGTGTAACCGCCACAAAACCGTGAGCGCCACAGTTAGTATTTTTTTTTTTTTTTTTTGAATGTATGAAATTGTGTCGATATTTTGTATTTGCTCAATATATTAAAAAAAAATAGTTTTCATTAAAAAAATATATTTTTTTACTTTGATATCCCGTAAAAAGGCGATTTTGTGGGCGTGGCACATTATGCAGTATATATATATTTTACAACAATTATCTGTCCGCTTAAATTATTAGGTTATCTTATTTGGTTCAAAATATATGATTTTTGCAACGCTAAATGAGAAAAGGCGATACCAAAGACAATAGAGCTATAAGATAAATAACGCCATACGATTTTTTTGCACACGATTTTTTCGTGCTGGCTTTTGAACTGGCTCCAGGCTCTCTTAAATTTTGTTCAAAAGCCAGCGAAGAGAGCGCTCTAGAGCCAGCCGTTCTCTTGTACGCATTCAGCGACGCCGCCGGGTGTTTGTGTGCAAACGGGCCTCAGAAGGCCAATTTCGCAAATAAATTTATTATAGGAGGTACAGAGCAAACATAAAACTTTAAACGCGTTTTCTGGAAAACTACGTTTTTCGAGCGACCGTCCTATCTCAGTCAATTTTTAACGAATCTTAATGTTTTTTTTTTAAATGCGCGTAATAAATTATATTATATTGATATATTGAAAGCTTATACATTGGATTTTTTATTAACAAAAAAGTGAAGAAAATTTTCAGAAAAACGAAAAAAAATTTTAAGTCACCGCCATTTTTTTATTTTTTATTTAATTTTTATAATTGTACTCTATTCCATAACCACATTAATACTAAACAAGAACATCTTTGAATTTTTTGTTTCAGTCGATTTTTACGTCCTGCAGAACTGTCGCCAGAGGGGTACCCTTTTTTGCAGAGGCTTACGTCGTCCTTTGTCCTGCTTCAGGACATGCTCTAAAAATTTTGAAAATTTGTGCTAAATCATCTCTAAACTATGAGAAATAAACATGCAAAGTTTGAACTTTCTATGTCTTTTCCTTTGCAAAAAAAAAAATGTTTCTAAAGATTGTCTATTTTTTGGCCCAACTAACCAGAATGGACCCTTAAAGCAATTCTATGCAATAGCTTTCTATTTCCTCCAAAGGCGTTTTATAAGTGTTTTTTTGAATATGCCACGAGGTCGGAAAAGAACAAGAAAGGAAGCTAACTTCGGCACGCCGAAGTTTGTATACCCTTGCAGATTGGTTTCGATATTTATATTATAGATTTAAATGCTGAAAACACTCACAAAACAGAGTTTCATACTTATTATATTTACAGTTTGACAGTTACAGTTTTACATTCCCAGCTTTACATATTTTATACATTTACCGATCGCTTCTATGGCAGCTATATGATATACATAGTTGTCCGATTTTCATAAAATTTTTACCAAAATTCTGAAATAATAAAAGAGCTCATGTCTCAAAGTAGATTAAAATACGTTGAAAAACAACGAAGTTATAATTTTTTTCCTATTCATTCTCCGATCGTTCCTATGGCAGCTATAAGATATAGTCGACCGATTTTTCTTAAAATTTTTACGGAAATTCTGGAATAATATAAAATGGCAATATCTCAAAAATGATGCAAAAATATTGAAAAACAGCAAAGTTATAATTTTTTTTCTACAAATTTATCGAACATTTGTATGGCAGCTAAATGATATATTCGTCCGATCCGGCCCGTTACGACATATATAGCAGTGAGAGTATATAGAAGACTATATGAAAAGTTTCATTCAGATAGCTTTAAAACTGAGGGACTAGTATGCGTAGAAACAGACAGCCGGACGGACGGACAGACGGACATGGCTAGATCGACTCGGCTGTTGATGCTGATCAAGAATATATATACTTTATAGGTCGGAAAGGTCTCCTTCACTGCGTTGCAAACTTCTGACTGAAATCATAATACCCTGCAAGGGTATAAAAATGGAGTTTTTGGCACAATCGTTTATTTTTAGAGCTAGTTGCCAATTGAAAAATTGGACTTGCTAGACTTGATTCATTACTATAATAACTATTGTTACTGGGAAACACGCTTGTATTGTACAAAAAAAATTTTTTTTTTCATAACAGAAATGTTTTATTTGTATTATATCCTCTTGTTTCATAATTGCTGCAGGTGGATATTAAAAAAGGAAGGAGAACTACACTTTTGTAATTCTTTGAAAATTCTTTTGAAAGCTTTATAGAAAATTAATATTGTTCTTAAAGTAGATTTATTTCTGCTTATCAGTTTTTGGCCTCACTCAGTGTAACCTAATATTTGAATAACTGTTGTCCAATTATCCGATAAAGAATTAAGCATAGTATAATTTGAATTTCATCGCGTAGGGTGAGTTATTTAATGTTGTGATTAGCCGGCCTGAATACTCTAAAGTTTGGTTCAAATACGTTATATCAAAAAAAAAAAATAGCTTCGGCATTTAAGGTGAAAAGAAGGATATTCAACATGGCTTCTAAGAACTTTTCCGATAGTTTAAGTGGATACATTTGTTCCCTAGGATGTGGTCATGGCGATGTTAATTTTTCAAGCCTATAAATATGTTTTTCCTGTTTTTTTTTTTTTTTAAGAATTGTCCTATCTTTTCTGATTGCCTATTACTGTATTCGACCAAAATGCGGCTTATTTTCGAGGACATTTCTTGATTTCAGTAGAAAAACTGTTTATTATGGTAAGAGAACTATTATCAAACATACCAGAAATATATTTAAAGGATCAACCCTCATTGAAGCTTAAATGTTGTGTTTTTCCATGAATTCAATTTTAAAATGTAATCTCAACCAGAATCCTGAAGAAAAAATTGCACTTACCCATTAAAAAACGAAAAAAACAAAAAAAAAATTCTCAGAAACGAATACTTTTGCGAGCATAGAAATCGATTTAGTTTTATACATATACATATTTGTCTGCAGCTTGTTATTGAAAACGTTTTCTGTACGTTTATCAAAATATAAATCTTTGGGATAGTAATCCATTTTTTCACACTGAAGCTATCTAGCTAGTGAAAATTGACATTTTCATCAAGACCTCCTTTGCAACGAATACTTTCGTGACTAACTGTATACTATATAACTCAATAAAAATTTACAAATCAATTCAGTACTCAACTTTAAATCTAAGAATTCATTGGACGAAAAATAATGAAAGACCCAATAAAAAATTGAATAGAGGCATAAATATAAAACAGGTAACACACAAACCTTAAGCATAGCATCTTGTGGAAAACGATTGTCTTGAATCATACATGTTACTAATTGCAGTTGAACTAGTGGGTTTTCAATGATATTCACGACACAGGCGTGGTAAATGTTTGCTTGACATTCTGTCGGTCCGTGTTGGCAGTCAAATGTTAGTTTGCCTTCAATTTTTTCGCTAGTTTTTGCCTTCCCGTAGGGAAAGAGGTGGACTTTCAAAATTGATGAAGCTGCCATAAAAGTTGGTAACACCTGTTTGGTAAGAAAATACTTCGAGTCCGGACACAATGCTTCATAAAACACGGACAAAAGAACCGGCGCACCTTCTGTTCTGAAGTAGTCTGGTTGATTCTGCACAAAAGATACAAAACAAATTGAATGTGCATTAGATTTGTACAGATATCAGTATGTACAATAGAAATTACTTACATTTAAAATTGGCATGGGTGAATTCTGGAATAATATTCTCAACAAACAAACTAATAGTATAACCACAAAAATTAAGATAAATATACGCTTACGTGCTGGAATCATTTGAGCCTATATAATTTCTGGATATGGTACAAAGTAGCTTTCTAGAATGTAGAATCGCAGTTTGTCTTATCAATGTTTATTACTTTTTGTTTTAAGACTTGTGATTGTGGAATTATCGATAAAAAACTGGACATTCAAAAATATACAATCCATACTATTTTGTATTTGGATATATACCAAATAATACTATTATGACATTAGCGCAGTAATTAGAGATTTCATTAGAGATTTTACTGCGCCATAGCTTTTTACACAAGTGCGAGCAAGATAACTATTTGGACCTCTAATGCATTATCTATCGATAGATCTATATAAAATATACTAGATACTAGATTTGGACCGATAACAAAATACGGTTTTAAGCCTAGTACTCTGACGAGAAAAACCCGCTGTCTAAATTAGACAGCGGAATCGCTGTTTATTTCGCTACCGAGCTAGTGTGACCAAAAAAAATTAAGGAAAATCCTGAAATGCCATGAAAATGTACTTTTTATGGCGTTTAAGGATTTTCTTTGGTCACACTGGACAGCTGTTTGTAAACAAATTTAAAAAAAAAAATATTAAAAATATTAATAGATATGGCATTAAAATGTCCTTTGTGGGTTAAATTCCATATTATGGGCTTCCCCTTGACAGCCCCTATCAATGCCACCTTTTCCCTTCAACTTTCCGTCCATTAGGGGTGTCTAAATAAATCAAATGAATTATTTAGACAGCGCGATATCAGCTGTTTACTATCTTGATCTGGCAACGCCATTCAATTTTCGCAGGCTTCATTTTCGTCGTCAGAGTACCGAAAAAAACGACGTGGCTAAAAGTTTTTCTTCTTCTTTTTTCGACACCGTTTTTTTATATGGAGTTTGGCCGCTGTCTAAATTTATACAGCGGATTTTTCTCGTCAGAGTACTAGGCTTTAATGAAAAAAATTTTAATTGATAATGCCCATATGATACACTGATGCAGTTTTCATTAATTAGCTAGTAGAGATGTCAAACTACCGGTGGTACTATCGATAGTACCGATGGTTTGGATTCAGCTTCCACTATCGGTAGTTTGAAAACAATCGCGTTAGTATTGCCTCAATATTTTTTTTTTTTTTTTTTTTTGTTGTTCCAGCGTCGACAACCGAGTCGGAAAGAATGTTTTCGAAGGCAGGAGAAATAATTTCCGATCGTAGATCCAATTTGAAACCAAAAATAGTTGATAAACTGTTGTTTATAAACAAAAATTGGTGGATATCTGACTGCTAACCGCTAACTCTGATCTCATACATTATTTTTTGAATAGTGGCAGGACCGCTTTAATATTATTTCATTTTTAAGATATGAAATATGAATCTTTTGTTATTTTTTATTTTTGTTATTATTAAGCTTGAAGCCAAACAATGAAATACGGAAAGAAAAATATATATATCACAAGAAATTAAAACTGTCCGAACTTTTTTATATATTTTAAGACTTTTACTATATTATATCTTTACTCTTAAAAATCTCTTTCAAATGAATAAGGTATACCCTCAACTTTTTTGAGTATTTTATTAGTGGAATATCCCCTTTTTAAAGAAATTTTTTAATGTCAGTACTATCGCGATAGTATCGATAGTTTGCAAAAAAAAACTCGAAACTACCGATGGTGCGAATACCGGTAGTTTGACATCTCTAATAGCTACTTCATTAGATCCTTGAAAGAGACCACTATATGTGTAATTTTGTGTAATTTGGCTTGGATTTTGCTTGGATTTTGCTTGGATTATTTTAGTAATACGACTACGGTCACACCGACCGTAAAAGGTAAACAAAAAAAACGGCCTTCATTCGCGGCGTATTACTATAAATTTCAGAATTCCTCGTCGAAGTATTCTTGCATAAATAAATGCAGAATCCTTTAAATTTATGTTTTTAACCTATGATGCTTAAAATTTTTTAAATTATTACAAAAAAAAAAATTTAATTAATTTTACACCGCAAGAACCTTGCCACCGCAAAACATATTATTTTTCCTAATTTTCTAATATTTTTTTCAGTTCAAAAAACCAGCGAAATTATAAAAAATAAAATTCTCATTGTGAGACCATACTGTCAATGAGCTGGCTAATACATTTTTCAATTACAATTTCCTTCATTAAACCCGTATTTTGTTATCGAGTATCTAGTATTTTTATGTAGATCTATAGATTATCGCGCCAATGAAGTAGCTAATGCATTATTGTAATGCATTAGAGCGACATATAGTCGTCTTGCTCGCACGTGTGTAAAACGCTATAGCGCTGTCAAATCTTTAATGAAGTCTCTAATTAATGCGGCAGTGTCATGCCCGTATAAGTGTTTCAGCCAGTTCATTAAAACGCGAAACTCCAAGTGGTCTCGCAAAGAGAATTTTATTTTTATTTCATTTTGCTAGGTTCTGAAGTGAAAAATTTTTAGAAAATTATAAAAAAGAATATTTTTTTGGTGGCAAGGTTCTTGCGCTGTAAAATTAATTTAAATATTTTTTGGTAATATTTAAACTCCTTGAAGGCAGCATAATTTAAAACATAAAATCACAGGTTTCCGCATTCATTTATGCGTCAATTCTTTGATGAGAAATTTAAAAATTCATGGTAATACGTCACGAATGCCGGCCGTTGTTATTGTTCACTTTTTTCGATAGGTGTGACCGTAGTCGTGTTATCCAAATAATTGAATAAAAATAACACATATAGTTGTGTTTTTCAAGGTCCTAATGAAGTAGCCAAAGCTTGCAAATAACTGTCAACCGTTTTTTTTCTTGTGCTCTCGTTGCGAGCACAACCGAACAAGTTCATACTCTCTCGCTCTCGCTCTAAGCAAGGGAGTTTTGCTGTCTTCATTTCTGTTTTCTGTTGAGCTCTTTTTACTTTGGTCATTCAATGAGCAGTGTAATAATAGTGCGAACAAGCTATTTTGTTTAATATAGAATATGAACTTTTTGACATGTATGCGTTAGAAATACCATCCCTAAGAATAGGCACTTCCAAAAGTGTTCCATGGTTAGGGGATTTCCCCCTAGATTTAGGGGTTTTTTAATGTCCTAAGGGGAATTTTAGGGCGGGAAGAATTTTTTAGGGGAAAGTTTAGGGGTTTTTCAAACTTGTATTAATACAATGTTTTGAAAAAACATTGTAGAATTTATGATTTACCCAACAATTGCAACAGCTTTAAAAACTTTTTGTGAACAAAGAGGTTTCCATTCCGAGTTTTCAGAAAATGTTATCGATGCATATGTATAAAAAAATATTAAAATTAAGTAACAAAAAAAAATGTTTCTTCCTTATATTTATGAAATTAACTGATATTTTAAATTTAGGGGGAAACTGAATTTTTTAGGGGGAAATTCCAACTTTTTTCGATTTTTTAGGGGAGAGCCAAATTTTCATCTGGCAACACTGACTTCCGGATTGACTGCGAATAAGGGCAATACGCAAATAAATTGAATCTGAAAGTCTTTCTTTACTCTGACGAGAAAAACCCGCTGTCTAAATTAGACAGCGGAATCGCTGCTTATTTCGCTACCGAGCTAGTGTGCCCAAAAAAATTAAGGAAAATCTTGAAATGCCACGAAAATGTACTTTTTATGGCGTTTAAGGATTTTCTTTGGTCACACTGGACAGCTGTTTGTAAACAAATATTCAAAAAAAATATTAAAAATATTAATAAATATATATTTTTTTTTGTACATATTTTATTTACAATCTGTCTAGTGACAATAGGTAAATTTTATAACTAATATTTACATAACAGGACTAGTAGATGTCCAGTGAAACCTACTACTAAATCTAGTTTAACGTTTACATATCTTTACCTATCAGGGAGATCAAGAATGTGAAATCTTTTGAGTCTTCTTACTGTTAGGCTATTGTCTACGAGACCTAGGGCTAAATTATTTTCGTGATTGTGAAGTCTTGCTGTATATTTCGTACTATATTTTTTAATTTCTTCTCTTATTGTTGGAATATTTTGATCTTTGTGAATGTTTGCGTTTGATACGTAAAATGGAGCGTTAACAATTTGACGCAATGTTTTTGATTGATAGCGCTGCAGGATTTCAATGTTAGAATTGCTAGCTGTTCCCCAGAGCTGTATACCGTAGGTCCAAACAGGTTTCAAAATAGCTTTGTAGAGGAGAACTTTGTTTTCTAAAGTAGCTGATGATTTTCGACTTAGCAGCCAGGACATTTTTAGTGTTTTCAGTTTGAGCTGTTGACTTTTCGCTTTTATGTGGTGTTTCCATGTTAATATGCGGTCGAGGTGCATGCCAAGATACTTCACACAGGTATCTTGTAGAATTGCTGAGCCGTTCAGTGTGACATTTGGGCAGTTTCCTGGCCTTAGTGCAAATGTTATTTGGACAGATTTCGAGGAGTTGATTTTAATTTTCCAGCGAAGAAACCAAGCTTCAATCAGATTGAGCTCACATTGTAAGAGGTTAGATGCTTCATCTCTAGATGAGCTTGTTGCCAGAATGGCTGTATCGTCAGCGTAGGTTGCAACGGTGCAGTGGTTAATTACTGGCATATCTGCCGTATATAAAGTGTAAAGGACTGGTCCCAGTACACTTCCTTGAGGAACGCCTGCGTTTATGAGAAGTAGCGATGATGCGTCACCTCTCTGCTGAACGTAGAAGCATCTTTCAGACAAATAGGATCTCAGTAATAAATAGTGTGGTGCAGGTAGCCATTTCTTTATCTTGTAGAGTAATCCATTGTGCCAAACACGATCAAACGCTTGTTTAACATCAAGAAATGTGGCAGTACAGTATTTTTTATTCTCAAATGCGGTAACAATTTCATTGATAACCCTATGACATTGCTCAGTAGTCCCATGGCCTCTTCTGAATCCGAATTGAAATTCAGGAATGATGGCAAGTTCGTCCAAAATTGGTAACATCCTCTTCAGTAGAATTTTTTCAAATACTTTCGAGAATATTGTCAACAGACTAATGGGACGGTAAGATGATAGTTCAGTTTCTGTCTTGTTTGGCTTCAGGATTATAATTATTTCTGCACATTTCCATTGACTTGGGAAGTGGTCTAGCCTGAGAATAGCGTTGAAAACCAGAGTGAGAAACCGTATGCATTTTGGTGGAAGAGTTTTAAGAGTGATGCCGTCTATCTTATCCGGGCC